GAAGGGTTTTTTTGCGTCGTTCTTCAGGGAGGCGGGTGTCGTTTTTGTTGTGTCTGTTCGCTCAGTTGGAGTTTTCGTGTGAGGTCTTTTTTGAATTTTAGTTGCAGGGTGTTGTCGTATGGGTTACTTACTACGCTCTGTGTGTCTTTTCGTTTTGGCGGGAGTTCAGTTCCTATGTGGCAGTCCGTATACTTTTTTAATGTGGTGGTTCGTGGGTCGCGGAGGTCGACTTGTGTGGCCCGGGGGAGCGTTTTTTGCTTTTGTTTTTTCGGTGGTTGGTGGGGGACCCATAACTTTTTTAACTTGGGTGCCGCTGGTGTTTTTTAAGGGAACTTTGGTTTGCTTGCGTGTGTGTGTGATGGTGGTTGTGTGTTGAAGGCTTCCCCTTCCGATATGTGTCTTCGTTGCCCGCTATTGCATTATGTTTCTAATTTGTGGTTTTTGATTTACTTTTGCAGGGTTTTTTTTTTTTTTTTTTTTTTTTTTTTTTTTTTTTTTTTTTTTTTTTTTTTTTTTTTTTAAAAAAAAAATATTTATTTTTTTTTTTTTTTTTTATATATATATATTTTTTTTTTTTTTTCAGTTTTTATTTTTTACTTTATTAATTACGAATTTGTTTATGTGTAGTGTCATGCTTGGTTTTTATTACTTAGTTTTTAATATTATTTTTTGTTTTAGTTTTGATTATACTCTTATTCATTTTTTAATTTTTAATACCTATATATATATATATATAGTCGGTGAAACTCCGACGAAACAGTTTGTCACAGCCCCGCGTTTGCTGTCCTCTTCTCTCTCTCTCTGCCTACGGTTTACCGGGCAGTTCTGTTTGCGACGATATATATATATATATATTTGAATTTTTATTTTTAGTAAAAATATTTTTATAATATGTTGTATTTTATTTTATTACTATTATTATTTTATTTATTTTAAATTTTAAATTCTTTACTTAATTAATTTTAATTTTTTAATTTTAAGCTTCTGAAAAAAACTTTTTGAGAGGGTGTGTGTGTGTGTATGTTCTTAGCTTGTGTGCTTGTGTGTGCTTATGACTGTATGTGTGCGAGTGTATGGATGTTGGCTAGAGTATATTTGTGTGTGTGTGTGTGTCCCTCCCCATTCCCTCGTAATGGAGGTCCCGTTGGAGTAGGTCTTGAAGATGTTGGACCTACCCCAGTAGGGGTAGATCCTCCATCCGAAACAAGCCAGCTTTGTGGCTTACACACATAGTTCTTTTTTGTTTTTTGTTTTTTGTGCCAGTTTTTCTGTTTGTTGAGGTTGCTTTTAGTTTTGTGGGTTTTGCCGGACCATCATTGAGTCACAGCGAAATGGTTGATACTTGATATGATTTTTTAGTAACTTGTATGTAATGCCAAGCAGGCTGTGTTTTTGGAAGCCATTGTTCTGGAGCGTGCAGATTGTTTGCTTAATTTGTTCTGCAGCATGGGTGAGGTCGGATTCGATTGTCATGATCGTGATGATTTGCGGTATAAGCAAGTTAAGTGATTGTTGTGTTGGTCTGTTAGAATTGGCTTGAATAAAGCGTGTGACTGGGAAGTTCAGTTCTTTTCTTTTGTCGTATTTGGTTGTTGTGACTGTGATAGTGGTGTTGAGGAAGTTAGCATTGATTCTTGTGGGGACGTTGTTTATGAGCGTTTTCTGTGTTGTCTGCTCATTTAGTGTTATCAGTTTGAGGGGGTATAGGTAGAATTTGTTGCGGGGGCTAGATATCTCGGGGTTGATAAATTCTCTAATCCGGGGGTCGTTGATGATGTGAAAGTCGTCAAAGTATCTGAAGACGTGCCGGAATAAATGCAGGAGGTGTCTGTTGCATTTGTGCGTTATTTTTCTCATGAATTTGTATTCATATTTGAAAAAATAAATGTTGCACCAGACGGGGGAGCAACTTACTCCCATTGGTATACCCAAAATTTGCCTCCAGATATTCTCTCCCAGGGATGTGTAGGCGTTATTGATTAGTTAGTTGTTGATCTCTTATACGATGTGGTTGTTAATAGTTAGGTAGCCATTGGGTGGGTTTGTGTACCATTCACAGGTGGGGGTCCATTCTTCATTGTTTCTGTAGAATTTGCAGGCAAGTTGGACGTTATTTCCGTGTGTTTTCTTCGCTTGCTTGAAGGCAATTTTGCTGAGGAATTGGATGGCTGCAGGTAAGCCATCTTCGCTGTTATCTGTAGGGATTGTTTCGTAGCATCGTGTTATGTCTGCCGAGAAGACTGTTGTGATCTGCTCAGGGAGGTTATATGTGTAATCGGGTGTTGAGTCGATGGGCCACCAGAATGGTACCTTTAGCCCAGTGTCAATCAGGGTTTGTGTGGTGAGTTCACCACAGTGTATTTTAACCATTTGTATCAAGGCTTTGAGTATGGTGGCTGTCAGGTCTACAAGTGGGGACCAGATCACATCTGCAGCGTTAGTAAGCCATCTGAACGAGCTTTTATGTTTTTTGTATGTGGCAAAGAGGTATGAGAGTTCTTTATTTCCGATTGGAATGTCTGGGAATTTGACAATTAGTTGTTCTTCGATTTTGTTGAGAAGTTCTGAGGCGCTGATTGCGCAGGGTTCGAAGTCAGGGCTTGTCAGTCGTTGTAGTGCGAGGTACCTAATCAAGTTTATGCATGTGATGACTGGGGTGTTGGGTCCCTTGTCGGCCCTCGAGATGTAAAAGTGTTTGGTTAGGAAGGTTATTTCTTGCTTTATTGCATGATCTTGGAGACTAGGCGCTTTGTGCAGCCGGATATTTTTAAGGTCGTTGGTAATTATTTTATCGAAGTTTTTTTTAGCTTCAACTTCTTGCTCAGGGATGAGGGGTGTACCATATTTCATGAGAGCCTGCATGAGGAGAGTCCAGACTTGCTAGGCGGCATTGGTGATATCATATGCTTTGGGTGTAGCTGGAGGTATATGGTTGAGACCTTTACCGAGCAGGTTTCGAAGTTCCTTATTGCCGATGATTTGTAGGTCGAGGGTAGTGACATGCGGTGGTTCTTCTTGGGGCAAGAGGTCAGCAGGCAAGGTGTTAGTGAACATGTTGTATCTTGGTAGGTGGCAGAAGCATTTCTCCGGAATCTGATCCAACCAGTCTGTGAGCTTGAAGTCACGAAACACTGCAGCTGGTTTGTATAGTGCTTTAGCGATATGGTCATTGTATGTCCAAGAGAAGGTGAACTTTTCAAGCGTCGGTAGGGCGTTGAGGTTGTGTTTAAGGAGGATGTTTCTGAAGATATTTTTGAATCTAAACCGTTCCATAAGGCAGTTGGTGTAGTGGCAAGGGATCACGTATTTTTTTTGGTTTTTCTTAGTTCTCCATCCAAGCCTTCCGTCTTCCATGATCTCTAGTCGTTGTGCCTGCACATACAAGCGGTTAGGACGGGATGAGTCATTTTTAGCGGGGGGTAGCCGGGTGCGATGCAAATTATATGGGTGAAACAAACAGAAGGAGGGAGAGAGAGGGGGGAAGAGAGAGAGAGAGAGCGGCGCAAGAGAGGGGGCGGAGAAGCAGCTGTCTCTTATACACATCTAGATGTGTATAAGAGACAGGGACTAGTGTGTGCACACAGTCGTATTTGCGAGCTAGAGGAGATGCTCAACTTCTTAGAAAGGAGGCGGATGCTTGTGATTGCGTGGGGGTTGGG